AAGGTATAGATTAATAGAAATGGATTAAGTTAAGCTGTAAGAACAGTTAGCAAGAAGCCTGCCACGGCCATACAGTTTGTAAGCAATATAAGTCTCTGTGTTTACTTGGTTGGGTCTGAGTGGCTGTGGGACTGGTGGGTGAGAGAGATTTACCCTGACCATGGGCCAGGCAGGAAAACTCTAGCTACACACGCTGGCCTCGAACTCACAGAAGTATGCCTGCCTCTGCCTCCCAAGTGCTGGGATTAAAGTTGTGTGCCACCACCACCCAGCTATGATGCTGTATTTAAGGGATGCCTTCTTTGCTATTTACCTTTCATGCTCAGGTCATCTCATCTTCAATTCAAAACTGTGCAAATATATATTTTAAGTTATGGGGATTCAAGCCTTTTAACATCCTTCAGGGTAATTCAGTATAAAATGAAATTGGGGTATATGAAACCCTGTCTCAAAAAAACCTAAATAAATAAATAAATAAAGCCTTACATGTCTAGGCTCCAGTGTGATTGTTAAGAGCAATATGCTTCCATACATAGCTATAAAATTGATTTGAGTCTTATAATTCTACAGTATTTTAAATGTATAATGCATATCTAACCTCAAAAAAGCAAACAAGGCATATAATAAAAAATACTAGTAACATAAAAAAAACAGAGGTCAAAAACCTCAAATAAATGCTTAGCTGGCATAGATGAGAAGGAAGCCAAATACACTGCCACTGTGGACACAGTTTATAGTCTTCTAGGTGGGAGATGGTATTAATTTTATTCTGGAATGTACTATACCATCTACACATAATCCATGAATAATGGAATGAGGATGGGCCACATCAAGGCTTCTCAGTCATTGTAGAAAATGCACCCAGTTCTCTCAAAATTCTGGCCTGTCAGCCAGAGTAAGACTTAAACAACATGCAGGTGAGTTGTGGTTTCATGTCCTATCTTATGTCCCTCAAGTTTCCTCATTGACCTAGTCTTAACTAATCACATATCCAATAATATCTACAGTCACACAGGGAAGAGAAGTCACCATTTGTGAAGCTGTTTTGGGTCATATGAGACTCATGGAAGGAGAGTAAAGTGATGGTTGAGAGAAATTTAGAGAAATTTATCTCTAACACCTGTATGCCTTGGAGGAGAGGTATAAGAAACAGAGGAGGACCTCACTGTTTATGAGATGGGAACAGCAAGAGGCCTGGAATTAGAAGTGGAGCCTGAAATGTGACTGAGCATTGCTTCAATGTCATAGGAAAACATTTGTCTTTATCTGAGTACACTCCTGAAGGTACTATGAGTAGTGGCTAATGAACAAATTTTTCAAAGAAAGCTCCTAGAACATTTACAGTCCCCAAAAAAACATTTTAGCTTCTATCTTTCACTAATGACTATGGCTTATATACAATTGAGGATAACACTGAAGACAGGTAGTGTTGCTCTAAAAGACACAAATCAGTCAGGATCATAACGATGTCATGTATATGAGTAAATGGGAATCTTGGTAGTTAAAATATTGCACCATCCTAGTTAGGAGTCTTAAGAGCATGGGCTCCAGTTTTGAAAGTTCTTCCGTTAGTGAAATGTTATCAAAAGACATCTCATAAAACAATGAAATACTTTGTGAAAGCAAAACTGAGTCAGTAGGATGAGCTTCATTCTTTTCTTTTTTAGCCTAACTACCACCAATATTTCTACCTTAAGCAAATTCTATCTTTATTCATTGATATTTCATACCTGCTGCCAAATATCCATTCATATTACTGCAACCTGAATATATTATAGTGTCATTCAAGTATAGTTCTTACATACAACAGGAAACTAAAATCCATCAGATTGGTCTTGTATGGTCAAGTCATTCTTGCAATTACCTAGTACTATGCTCATGATATCTCTGACTTGTCCCTGGAATATTCTTTATGGACAGTGGCTAAATATATATACTATTTTGAATTCTGTGAGCCAATTAGCATGTGAGTAAAGTCCTAGAAGGGGGTCAGTGTACTTCAATTTATACTGGTGATAATTGGCGTGTGACCTGAGAATCCATCTTAATGGACTAAGCCTCAACCTATAGGGTATGATACCACCTCCTGGAAGAAAATGACAGGGTAGAAAAGAGCTAGGGGACACTAATATAGTGTTTCTCATGAATGTCCATCTGCTCTGTGGTAAAGAAAATTCTGCATACTTTTGGTGTCAAAAGTGATGTTGGGACTGAGGAAATTGTTCATTCAGTTGTATAAGTGCTTGTCACATACATGTGAGGACCTTAGTTTTGATCCCCATTATCTATCTATATACCAGTACAATCTGCAATGCGGGCAGAGAATTGAGGATACCTAGAGCTCAGTGACTAGCCTTTCTAACTGAACCAATGAGCTCTTGGTACAGGGAAATACTATCTCATAAATCAGGTTAGAAAAAAATTAAGAAAGACACTTGATGTTCACCTCTGGTTGCCACACTGCATATACAGTGATGCACATACTCTATAAACCGGTGTACATAAACACACACACAAATTTGAGTAAAGTGATGTAAGATTCCATTATGAGCATTGAATAGGAATTTTTCTATCTAGATCCTCAGGACATGTACAATTCTTTGTTCTTTATGCACAATTCTTAGTATATAAATATAGCATCAGTGTTTATATAGGCATCAAACATATGTACGATGTGAGTTTACAATACATGTATAATATAATATAGGCTATTAGTTTCTTCTGTGCATTCATACACTCAAGGTAGCCTTGGAGATTTGTCTCCTAGAGAATATTTTCATTATACTCTAAAGAGGTTAGAAACACTTTCTTTTCTTTAAAGGTTCAAACTAATGGGGCTGATGCAAAGACCATGGTCCTTCATCTGGCAGGATAGGAAATGAGATTATCTCAGTTCCATCATCACTTGAAATTTGCTGTGATTTGTGATTTGTGTCCTGGTATACCAAGACCCAAAACCTGCATTATACTCACAGACTCAAGTCTAAGAAGCTAATGTCCACTGGTGTGGCTTCCTTTTCCTAATTTCAAGGACTTTTGTTATATCAATTGAGTTCCAAAAACTGGCATACAGGCTTGAAAAGAAATGGATCATGGAAAACAATGGTATCAATTATGGATGACCTTTACTCTGCACCCTGGATCTTTTGGAATCCTGGCTTATAGATCCCAGTGTTAAAACTCCTTTTTCATTTGAATTATTCTTTATACACTGTCCCCAGAACAATTTCCTAATACAAGTGAGAGCATTGAAGGAACTTGAGAAAATAGCTTCCACAGCAGAATGTGAGATCTTGGTCCCTCAGCCCTGAACTTCAGTAAGAATAGTGAGTGAGGGCTGTGAGGGTGTCTATGTGAGATCCATACCCTTCCATATGAGGCTACCAGATGTTGTCTGTAACTGTGGTGGTATTAATGCATAATTTCCTAAAATATCCCCACTGGAGATAGAAGATATTATACCATATTTCAGGCTTCTTATGAAGAAAATCAATCCCCTGTCTAGTTGTACAGTAGGACTTGTATATATGAGGAAAGCCATGTTGAGAGCATAACCTGATACCACCATAGTAGTTCAGGGAGATGAGAAGGATGCTCAGGGATCTGGACATGTGAACATGTCACTTTGCCTCAAATGCTAGTTGGGATTTTTTAGTATCTCTTTTTTTTTTAAATCTGAAACATGGACATCTCCACAGACAATACTTAACACCTGACACACAGATGTGGGTAACAACCCTCAATTCCTGTATATTTGGTCCTATCTCTCCACACATTATGAGACAGCAGCAACTCAAGAGCCAATGAGTCTATTTTTATTGATTAAAGCAAGGATAAGCCATGTGGGGCTTGCATTTGTGCAATCTGAAGAAAAGAGGAGATAGGAAAAATGGGACAGTTGTTTACATCTGCGTTACTTGACTTTAGCAGCCTTCTCTGTGGGGCTCCTGCTCCTGTCAAAATGGGGTGATATTTCTGAGGACTTATGCATCCATATGAAGGTTGGGGCAGTCCAAACAAGATGTGTAAGTGGTAGGTAACATAGCATATCATGGCTCATACCCTCAGATACTTATACACATGAATTGTATGACAATCTTATACTTCAGTACAGAGAATTCGGATATAATGAAGTTGCATGATACTCTCTGAAAAGAGGAAGAAAAATAGACCATCAATGAAGTTAAAATTAAAAAGGAATATGGTTAGTCAGAAAAATAAAATAGACACAGGAAACATGCCCATGAGTTATTTCAGGCACTTCTGAGTCCCAGCACATTCAGCTTAATGCTTCATTGGCCCGTCATTATTGCTTGAATTGTCTACTGTACATCTGAAATCATGCACTACCACCTGGAGCTTATAAGTTCCTGCATACTCTTATATAGCACAGGTGGCCATGTGGTCAAGGCCCATCCACCTTGAGCACATGGACCACACACTAAAAGTGTGACTGGGAAGAAACAAAACAGGTGACATAATGCAAAAAATAAGAGCAAATGGGAAGAGTTGAAAAGATGAGAGCTGCCACCCCGTGTGTGACATCTCAGGAACCCATGCTTAAAGGTAGCAGCTGGCAGTAGAGGCATGGAATCAGCAAGAGGGATTTTCAGTCACTTACATGCTATATATCTCTTTAGTAAGGTCTGGGAAGCCAAATTAAGCTGGGAGTTAACAGACACTCTTCTCATAAGTAACTTTCTCCACAGCAGCTTCCTTATACTCTCAAAACACCCCCAGTAACCAAATTAATTCCCAGGTAAAGAGAGAAAAATAATCATCTGTGCACCCTGCCTCTTCATGTGGTCAAAACTCTACTACTGAGGGACTCTATACACCCAAAATGAATATCTACTATTCACTCTCTATCCACATATGTACTCACATGTACTGTATCTCATGCATACCAATATTTGCAAAAGAAAAACCTCTCAAACATCATACACAAATGTAGAAATGTTCTTCCTATGCTGGGGTCATTTTGAGAATCATGTGCTTACCTTCTGCTGGTCTGCCTGTTCATTGAAGGGACAGTTAGCCACCTTAGATAGGAACTTGTTGCATGTGTGTTCTTCTGGGTTTAAATTGACATAAATAACTCTTCCTTGCTTGTCCTTTGAATAAGAATAGGATTCATCATAGCATTTTGGGGAACATTCAAAATGTGCAATAACTTTATATTATGGAGTTAATTTATTTGTCTAGAGTTAATGCCTACATTCCTGGGCAGCCAGTTATCAACCACACAGCACACCAGACACATCTGCTCGCACTGGTCTTGTGAGCACCTTTTACAAGCTGCTTTGTGCTGTTGAGAAAATGAGAAGCAAGGCAAAGGAGACAGATGAAATCCATTCAATGGAGTCAGGAATGGAAGATTAATTCTGAGAAGTGATCAAGGATATGGACACTTAGGAAGAACTCATGGGTGGGCAAAAATGTCAGTTGACCAAGTATCAGGATAGGGATAGACACACAAAATTATTCCCAGAATCATGGTGTCACAAGAAACAACCCTACCCAAATAGGGGAATATAAAAGACAGTGCTGGAGAACTTTGGATTGTTACTGGGCTCTATTTCTGTTCCAGTGGGGATTGAACAAATACCTTCTCCCTAGTAAGTATCTTTGCAATGGTGTCCTCTAGCCCAGGGGGGAACAGCCAAATGAAGGTAAGATTGCCTTCTCAGTATGAAGATTTTCAGCTAAACACACTTAGAAATTATGTCAATTATTTGTGCATGTACTCCTCCTCTAAGTCACATGACACAGGACTGAATTGGCTGGAGTTCACATGTGTCCACATCCAGCTGTATTCATTCATGAATTACTACTTTGTTACATATGTTTTCCCATTGTCATGCACAGACACTCTCCACATATCAACACATCGATATAAAAACATATCCACTATCCATCTGTCTGTTTGATGATCCCTGGTGATTATCAAATACATACTTTTCCCCGACGGAGGTCAGTTTTGAGAGGACATTTGTCCAAGTCAGATTCAATCTGGGTACATGTTGTTTGATCCAGCTGTACTTCACCATAAATCGACCCAGCCCACAGCTGTAGGGAAAAGAACAGAATTAATGCACATTAATTTGTTCCAGTTTACATACATGCATTCAATTTCTTCATAGAGTTTACATATTTGCCTTGGGTCCATGACATCATTTTTCAGCTATCGAACTATCATCCCCAGACCACATGCACAAGCCACTTCTATTAGAATGATTTACAGAACCTGATTTCTACTTATTTTGTTCTAAACAAAAGGAGAAACAGTACTTAGAAGACAGAAGAGTGCACCTAACATTTTTAAACATCTTAGATAATAGGACTCAGTTCTGGGAAGCCAGCCAAGGTGAGGGTGACAAAGTTTCTCTGTCCAAGGAACATGATGATGTTGACAAGACACATAAGTTGAATTTCTTAATGGTCTACATCTGTCCTCAAGTGTCTTCTGTGAAGACCACACGGAGGACAACTCTAAAAGGTAAAATTTTTGAAAGGACACACATTTATTCTCTGAAATGTAAGATTATAGATTTTCTCTATGGGATCACACAAAGCATATTTGTCAACTAAAGTTTGAAGAATCACTGCATGATCTCATCTTAGGGGACCATCATTGTCTATCCTGTTATAGCTAACTTGTAGCAAAGACTGTCTGGCACAGTGGAATGGACACTTTGTCAATAAAAGGGTTATAAAAGCCACTCAGAGTCTGTACATAAAATGAAGTTGTGGGGCCAGCATGGGATCCACATCCCATTCTGGAAGAGTTCATGAGTGGGCATCAGCAAACAATGAGAAAGGGTAAGAAGTATTAGATCCTGTGTACTGACTCATGATTTCCCTGGAATGAAAATTTGTCACATAAATAATTTTGTTGTTTGCAAGAAGTGAACATGGAGTTGCTATTCTAAAGGGATACAGACAATTAATACATATAAACACACATTCCCCAATTTCCATGCACAAAGCAACAATAAGGAGAATGGAACAAACATGGCCATGCATAACACTTGAAAGAATTGATGCAGAATCTACATGGATGGTTTGAGTTACTGTTTCAATTTCCCTGGAAATCTGTCCTTACATGATAGGAAGAAGTTAAAGGATATCATTTAAAAGAGCATAGTGAGTAAAGATACTGGCCACTCAGCCTGAATCCCTGAGTTTGGTCTGACATCCACATTTTGGCAGAAGTGGTGTAAAGATACTAAGGCTTCCACTGACCTTCATATGATCACCTAACATACTCCTCACATCAATAAACACACACCCACACACACACACACGGTAAAAATGTTTAAAATGTTAAAGAATACTAAAAGATCATTCCAATATGACAATTGTGTCTGTTTCTCTCTATATATGGCTATTCATTTAGCAATAAACATTGACATCAGGTGTTTCATGCCAGGAACCAAACCAGAGGACAATTGACTATGAGTCTGAACTCTAACTTTGTTACCTCCTGCAAGTGGGCACGTTGCAATAGAATTATAGACAGAGCTACCTTCTCCATGTGAAAGTGTACTGACTAGATTTACAGCTGTGCTAATGGGGACTATCTCTCAAGAGATCCTTGAAGACATACATAGAGATAGATAAATCCTGTGGGCGTAGCTTGAATAAGAAGTATGCGTTGTTCAAGTGTTAGTATGTTAAGACCTGGATCAGGCCATGGGTCTCAGTGAAAGAACACTGTACACTGGAGGGACATCAGCATGGTTGCAGCAAGAGTGAGAGTGATACTGAGGGGAGGAAAAAAGGCACTGCCTCAGTTGAACATGTCGGCCCTATCTCTGACTCTGGGATAAGCACTTACCCACAATTTGTAGTTCATTATGTTGCTGAGGTATGTGTCATTGTTGTGAATATTGTAAACAGTTTTGAAGAAATCCAGCACATCCTGCTTCCTCTTTTCATCCAGTGTGCTACTGATACTGATTTTCTTTGCAATATCTGGGTGTTTTCTGGCTTCATGGCTTGAGTTCAGGAGCAGGACAAAGGTGTTCAGAAGAAGCAGTGTACTGCACAGTGCTTTATCCATTGTCTGCTCATATATAAAGATGCAGATTCAGCAGAGCAGAGGACTCAAGATCTGTGGGAAGCAAGCACAGCCACTATGCACTATATACTGCTGGACAAGGCTAGCCACACCTTCCAAATGAGCCCAACTTTTCCTACCTCCCTGTTTCCTGCTGGCCAGTTCGTTTCCCTCAGTACACCCTTCATCTCATTTCCTCCTCTTTAGAATTCCTGCCACTTCTCCTGCTCTTTCAACTCAGTCCCTCTTTACAACTTTGGACCTCCTTCTTAGCTTACCAATTTAGATTCACCCTGGCACCCACAATGGTAACACCCACATCTGCCCCTTACAAACTTGACACTTCGTTCTTCATTTCTTCAGAAACTTGTAAGTATCTGTTGAGTTACCCGTGTGCTCAGAGTTCAGGAGTGTCCTTGAGCATCTGGATCAAGATCAAGTTCAATTTCCTTCTCTAATTTGTTTCTAGCCATTGTATGTTATCCAACAAAAGTGAAGTGGCTAACACAAAACAGAAGCACAGACATTCTCAAACAGGAATTCAGTAGTTCTGGAAATGAAACCAATAACTGGAAAATACTTGGTTGGAAAATATCTAAAAACAAATAAATGGAATTTCAGATATAGGGGAAGAAAAATGAGTATTCAAAATTGGTGGCAGTGCAAAATTGTTTAGTCACTATGCAAATTAGTGTGCTAATCCTTCAAAAAGCTAAAGTAGATTTATCATATTCAGGTAAAACACTCCTGTCCATATACATAAAGTACTATGAAGCCTATTATACTTGCATACTTGTTTATCCATAATCTTTGCTGATCTATTATAACAACCAGCTATAGGAAGCACCCAGGGCATTCATCAATTGATGAACAGATAATGAAAGTGTGGCATATGTACACAATTCAATTTTGTCCAGCTATTAACAAAAATAAATAATAGCAGATAATATGTCAAAATCTAAGGGACAGACAGATCTCACAAGACCCTGAGCTAGCATGAAGTGCTACAGGCTATTAATTGCTGGGAGAGGGAGAACCTGTTATCCTCAAGGATGAGCATCCTAAGTAGTTAACCATTCAAGTCTTTAGTCCTTCAATCATACATATGAAAAACACTAAATGGAATATACATGTATATATAAAATATATAAGTTATATATAATATATAAAATATAAAAGATATAAAATCTCTATATTTAGATAAATTACTATGTACACACATACATGAATGATGACTAAAGAATGAGACAATGAATTACAGAGGGATTAGTGGAAAGACACAGAGAATTTAGAGGGGAGATGTAGGTAAATATATAAAAACAATACACATATATTTCAAAAAATAAAAGGTAAAGATATGTGGGGGTATGCCCACAAGTATATATTCCATGTGTGATAAGATATTTTTGGTATATCTCTACTATGTTTTTTTATATATTACCAATATATTGAGTATATGTTCCTACTCATAAGAAATACTTGATCCATTTTTCTTGAATTTTTTTTATCCTTCACTTACTTTAAAACAACTTACTGAGATTCCCATAGACTGACCAGAGGAAGAATTTGCTCTCAGAAATTAAATCTAAGCAAGAAAGTAAGCTTAAAATCTCTGCAGACACATGAAGTGTTTCTCTCCAGAGGATCCTGGCTCCTTGTGTTAGGAATTCTCATTCACTTAAGATGCCCACTTTGGATCTCAGCTGTAATGATTGCCTCCCTCATGGGAATAGAATTCTAGGAAAACTGACATTTGGGGGAAGGAAAAAATGGCTTTTTCAAATGGTAGGTGAATCTCGCATCTGGGCTGTGGCCAAAACCTGACATGTTCAGTGATATTTAGACCTGACTTTTCATACAAGATCTTCAGGCCAACTGCTAGAGGGTATTTTAGACACTGAAGCCTTTCTCTGAAGTGTCCTATGTAGAGTGGTTCAGAGAGAGGTAAGCTAAGGTGATTCTGTTTCTTTGTTGGTTACTTGCTTTCATCTGTACTTACATTGTTTCTTTCTGCTAGACATACTCGTATTCACGGAGATAAGAATTCACTGAACGGCTGATGGGAAACATGAAGAGTTCATAGCACTTCAATATGCAACACTCTAGAAGGAGGCAAAAATTAATTGTACACATTATAACTCCCCTATATACCCTAGCTACTTCATCCTTCACTCCCCAAATTTTGACTCTGAGGGTCACCATTTATGTCATTTAGCATTATGAACACTGGGAAGAAATGTGTTCTTCTGTGAGATAGGTTAGGAGTAAAAAATATTTTATGCTCCACAACCAAAGAAAATGAGGATTATAAAATAAAAGGAAGGAACACACCCATTTAACTAATGAGGTTGGATATATGTTTCATCTGAGATGAAGCAGAGATAAGGAAAATGCGGCAAGCCTGAAGTGATTACTCTGTGGTTAACAGCACTTGATGTTATTCTGTGACCCGAGTTTGTTTTCTAGTATTCAAGTCATGTAGCTGATAACCTTGTGTAACTGCAGCTAAGTAGGACAGTGCACTCACCCACAAATACTGACAAGCAAACACACACACACACATCCATATGCATAATTCAAAATAATAAAGCATAATCATTCTTAAAAGGCAAGAAAAACAATATATTGTGGTCCTTTGACATTGTGATTAAATGCTTGCAATTTTCCTCATAGGTTTAAGCATAAGAATGGATTCATGTCTGAACTTCCAAGACTCACCCTTGAAGTAATACTCTTCAATTGCTTTTGTAGACAGATAACAGGTAAAAAGTGAAAACCAGAGTGAATGTCCAAATCTAGGGTGATGGAAAAACATTCAGATCAGGTAGATATGGATTCAGAGCACCATTAAATTACCTTTTGAGAGTTATTTCATGAAGCATATTCTATTGTAAGTTGACAAATTTACTTGGCTTCCATATCTCTGCTCCATAGTCAGATTGGTAGCATCCTAAGTTCGAAGAACTCAGCCTTCACAAACCTTTTCCACTGTGAGTGTTGCCCACATACCATGGCATCCCCAAAGCAAGAGAAGATCATAGGATGTCTTAAGGCAAATGTGTACATCCATAAGCCAGTCACTAACATGGCAGGGAAAGACATGCAGTTTGGAGGGACATATACAGAGTGAAGGTTGCCTCGCTTCTTTGACATGAGATTTGGAAGCATGGCAGAGATGATAAATCATCATGGTTCCAGAGCACAGAGGCCCATGACCATGAGCAACCCATTGATCAGCAAACTCATCTCTCCATCATGGCATCCACAGAGTGAGAAAATCTAAGGGTAATTTTATATGATGAAAATGAGAAATGTTGAAAATGAAATATTCTCACCATGCCCCATTCTTGCCATGAACAAAATTCACCACAACATCAAAGCCATGTTTTCCTATAGTAGAAACTCAAGAATTAGAGTATAGACCTTAGTTTGGGGAGAAACCTGGCATTCTCAGTAACAGCATGTCAGCAGACTTTGATTCAAACATACTAAGCAGAAACCCAAGGAGACAAGCTGAGATGAAAAGACAGTAGGTGATGTGAAAAGACAAGAAGATAAGGATGAGAGCAAATGTGAAGTCAGTGAGATGAAATAACAAGTATATATAAAAGACTGAAAAAAAAACAAATGCATCAATTTTCTAACAAAGGACTATTGCAGTGGTACAATATACATGGAAATACACAAAGTTAACTTCCCTGATGGGTAACAGGCTTTTGGGGAAAGTTTACTTCAAATATGTGTGAAGGCACATAATTTTGCTAGTATATCAGCAATCATAACAAGAATAATTTTTTAAATAAGTTGATTTTATGAAGTTTTCCATTACCAAGATGTGGGTAAATAAATTGAATTTTTTTTGTATTTTTTCTGTTGTGCACAAGGGCCTCAAATGTAACTTTTGAGTATACTGTATTCACATTCTGTTTACAGAATATAGTGAAATCTCTCTGTGCAATGAACATCAAAGAGAAAATGGAATTACCATCACATAAACTTGAGACCTCACTTTTATGACTTAATATTCATATGTCATTCAGTGTATATTTCAACCAGAGTGTCATTCATACTTATAGATGTTTAAGCAATTGGTCTCAAGTGGAATTTTATACCTACACTGAAATGACTATTATAGGTTCTTAGACTCATAATTAAAATATGTAAAATAGACATTGAGGAAATTTGAAGACATTTTTATTAGAACTTGACAAAGAAACAATACTATAGGACATGGAGATTCACATCAGCCAACAGGACAAAAGATATGGAGGAAAATGTTATGCCTTTTACATTAGCTGTGGAGGTCAGAGAAATAGAGAAGCATGAAGTATCAGGGTAAAATATTGTCATGGTAAATCTGTGGCTTAAGGTTCAGAGTAAATTTAATTCCAGGCTTTAGTGCCCCAAGAGAAAAGATTACATTAAGGACCTATTAGAAATATAAGTAAGACTTAGGTTTCTTGTCATAGAGGTCTTTCACTTGTTTGGTTAGAGTTACCTTGAGATATTTTATATTATATATGGCTATTGTAAAGGGTGTGTTTCTCTGATTTTTTTCTCAGTCCATTTATATATTTGTATATAGGAGGGCTACTGTTTTCTTTTTTAGTTTATCTTATATCCTGCCACATTACTGAAGGTGTTTGTCAGTTGTAGGAGTTCCCTGGTAGAATTTTGGGGGTCACTTATGTATACTACCATATCATCTGAAAATAGTAAGAGTTTGAATTCTTTCTTGCCAATTTGTATCCCCTTGATCTTTTGTTTTCTTATTGCTTTAGCTAGAACTTCAAGTACTATGTTGAATAGATATGGAGAGGGTGGACAGCCTTGTCTTGTTCCTGATTTTAGTGGAATTGCTTTGAGTTTCTCTCCATTTTATTTGATGTTATCTGTCAGTTTGCTGTATATTGCTTGTATTATGTTTAGGTGTGTTCCTTGTATCCCTGATCTCTCCAAGACTTTTGTCATGAAGGGTTGTTGGACTTTGTCAAAGGCTCTTT